TGTTGTGGTGTGGTGGATTTGTGGTTGTGATGTGTGGATTTGTGTGATTCGTGGTGGCAAGGGCGGGTTGTGAATTTTTTAGTGGGGTTGGTGGTTGCAATATGGTGTGGTAGAGATGGTGGAGACGGCATTTGCGTTGTGGTCTGCTACGTGAGGGACAATGAAGGTACGAGGGACGCTGCAGATCGAGCCTGTAGTAGCCTAGATGATTTTTTTTTTTGTTAGATGGGTGTTGGTGGTAGTGGTGGTCTGGTGGTTTTAGTAGTGTTTGGGTGGTGGTGGTGATATTGACTATTTAGTGTAGTGGTGGTTGTGAAAACGTTGGTTGCGATGTTTGAAACGGTGATTTTGTAGCTGGGAAGTGGTGGTGGTGGTGTTGGCGACAGTTGTGTGTTTATGTGATGTTGTTGGCTGCTGTGGTGCGCTTCTGTGGTGTTGTGTTGGTGGGGGTCACAAATGATTTGTTAATTGTGAAAAATAAATTGGTTGGTGTGTGACCAATGAAGAATAAATTGTGACCAATAAATAATGTGTGACCTACAAATTTATTAATTTGTGATCAATAAAAGTAATCCGTGAACGATAATTTGATGTTTTGTGACCATAAAATAAGTTGTGTGACTTATAAATTTTGTGATTTGTGACCGATAANTAAAAACACTGAAAGAAGTTGCAGCTGCCTATTTAAAATAAGAAATTCCGTTACATAATCCGTTAAAACAACAAATTCCGTTAGTTTTTCCGTTAAAAACAAGAAATTGCGTTACATAGCCACTTTTAATATATAGAAGATATATAATTAATTAATTAAATTATAAATAAATTTTAATGAAAATCTGATTTTTGAAATTTAAAACCTAAAACCTTAATTTTGAAATGGTGATACTTAAATATCTTATTTATGTATTGTTCCCATCAAACTTTTAAAAAATTATTCAAATTAAACGGAAAAAGTCTCAACCACTGGGCCCATATAAAAATTGTCCAACTTGAATTGGATTTAAGTCCAAACCAATCAATCCAACTCAACTCAAATCAACTCGAGTTTGGTCGGTTTGAATTGAGTTGAGTTTCAATTGTGAATGGATTAGTTTAGGTTTGAATTATTGTCAAACCGAATATGTTAGATTGGGTTTGAATTGGATTTAAAATCAATTCAACCCAACCCACGCCCCAACCCTGAAACTCAATGATTTGCATGAACTTCTTTCTCAAGTTAATTTAATAGACCTGATAACAAGACCTACCTAATTGGGCCAACTGGTTTTGATATGATGCCCACGAGCATAACGGAATAGACCTAGAATTTAAAACGTAGAGAAAGAATTAAACAAATCACTATTTTAAGATTTAATTATAATTAATCAGATCAGATCATCAAGAATTTTCTAAAAAAAAATGAGGTTTTAATTCTATATAAAATATATATTTCAACATTTTTAAAATTACATTACCAAATAATATATGTTTAGTAAGTAATCCTGAATTTGAAAGTTAATTACCATCCATAACGAAATTAAAATCACAAAATTAAGAGAGAGAAAATCAGATTATTAATAATTGGATTTAATATTTTCATTATTATGTTCTCTATGAAAGTCACAATTTCAAACAGACATGTTTTAAGCCACATTTAAATAATATAATATCCCATATTTATGAATGACTATTAGGGACCCACACCTTATAAGTCATATCAAATAACGTAGTATATCATGGTCACATAACGTATTACAAATATTATAGGTCACAAGTACACAATCTTGTAGTCACACAACATAACGACAACTTTGCATGAATGCAATTTTTTCAAAGACACACGTCTTATGTCAAATTCTTAAATTGTACACGCACACTTGAAAATGAAAACTATAAATTATCATAGTTTAGTGGTTGAAAGTCACACCACACGGCCTTTTATGTCACAATCACAAAATGTATTAGGTTATAATCACAACTTCAGCATAAAATGACCGAAAAATATTGTGGTCGTTTGCATGTGACCGGAACAATTTTTTACAAACAATTGTTAAATTTTGTTCTTCATCAATAGATTTAAAACGACACCAAAATTATGGCCAATTATTCTTTAGAAACGGTAGATAACAATTTTTTACAAACAATTGTTAAATTTTGTTCTTCATCAATAGATTTAAAACGACACCAAAATTATGGCAAATTATTCTATAAAAACGGTAGACAAGAAGGAAACAATTAGTTTGGGGAAATCATGTAGGGAATTTGTGGGCAACTTCTTCATCTATTCTGATCATGGAGGTTTGAGATTCCATTTTCTATTTTAGGATTTGTAAGAACGTTGGAAGGAAGATGACTCATCTCTTTCTAACATTTGTAAATGATTTTAATAAATATCAAATGGTAAACAACAATTAACCTATTTGTACAACACTTGTTGACGACCGTTATGTTGTCAAAATTCGGGTCATTGATTTAAAAAACAGTTTTTAAAATGGATGAATGTGATGCTGTTAAATGTGAAGTTGTCAATCAAGATTGTACAAGTAGTATGATTCGTTAAATAAATCAAATCAAGCCTCTTAATTAAGAAAAAGTTGTAGACAAGGACATGTCACTGTATGTCATTTGATACAATGCATATAAGGGTAAAGATACAATGCCAATGAGGCAATGACCCCGCGTGAATAGAAAAATTTCAAGATGTGGTCCCCACCCCCTCCCCTCCCCCTCCCTCCATTGCGAGTAGTCGGTAAGAAATCAGATAAAAAAATTCCATACATGTAGCATGGTCCATGCATAGAAACCCATTTGTGTGATCAAAAGCAATCTTTCCTATTTCTTAACTTGAATTTACCAAATTCTAGCCATAGATTCTGCAAATATTGTAGCTCAAAAGAGCCTAATCAAGAGGCCTCAGATATAAATAAATAAATAATTGATATACTTTTAAGGGACATTAATTTCAAGATATCGCCATAAACTATTAAAATATGTTATCGTATATATTCTCATTATTTTTGATCAAATATTTGAACTTAACTTGAAATAAAACATGCAGTCCAAATTACGGTAAATCATAGAATTTTATGGTGATAGCCTCTAAATTTGAAATAAACCTCACCTAGAAAGTGAAGATTATTTTATATCTTAATATACAACCTTTTGCATAATTAGGCTGCTTTTTTCAGTAGGCATCTTAGTCGTATTTTGGACCATTAATCTAGGCTCTAGCTCCCAATTAACTTTTCAGAAAAATAACAGAAACTATGTTTTTAATTTTTAATTTCATTAATCAAATATTAACTTTAAAAAAAAAAAAAGGCGATCACATGAAAATAACTGATAGGTCACATATAGATTAAGTGGGTATTTAGTATGGATTAAAATTAAATTTTTAGTAGATTATAATAAAAGTTTTTGAAATGTGTGGTTGAAAAGTTGTGAGACTTATAAAAAAATGTAGTTAATATTGATTGTTTGACTTTGATTTAGATTAAAATTTGATTTTAATACGAAACAAACACGACCTAAGTCACAATCAGACATCATACTAAATCATAATCATATAATTTATAGGTCACAATCATTTATTCAAACAGATACAACCTGAATTTTGAATTTTTTTTTTAACAAAATTGTTAATATTGAAATTGTATTCTTAGGCCCTGTTTGGTGCACATTTTTGGTAGAATAATGCATTTTGTTGATGTGATGGATGGGGAATATGTGGTTGAAAAAGAAAGAAAGTTATTGATGTAATGAAAAATATTATTTTATTTGGAGAATTTGTGGTTGAAAAGGGAGAAAAAGTTATTGATGTGATGAAAAATATTATTTTATTGAAAAATGTGTGGTTGAAAATGAGTAGAAGAATGAAAATGAAAATATTAATGTGGACCAAACAGAGGCTTAAACTATTATATTTATCAAAATTTTCCTTTTTAACTTTTTCCACTCGCAAAATAAATTATCCTGGAAAACTGAAAGATTTTTACTGCTCATCTTAGTTAGGACTTGACAGAGTTACATAACCTTTTCGTTGACACAATATTTTCAGGTGAAATCATGCACCATTGTGGATGCCCACCTAAAAAATAAAACCTTGCTTTTCTAAGTATATGTGCTCATATTCAGTGACGGATGCAAACATTTTGAATTATGGTGACACAATTAAATTATTTTATGAGAGATTGTGTGATTACAAATAAGTTTTGAAAAAAATGAAGTTTGCTCAAACATGGACTTAATGAAGTCTCTCCTAAAACAAAATAGGAAAACCCTAGCTAGTGGGCTACAAAGATGGCAGTTTCTGAAGTTCCAAAAGAAAATTAAAAGAGCCATCCCACCATTAAAAAGGTTTATGGAATGCTTATACTAGGGACTAGCTATAGCTGGCGGAGTTGAGGGAGATGAGATTTTTACAGAGCCTGAAAATGACGTTGGAGATAGATTATGGGACCGGGGTCACCTGTCAAAATCTCAAGAAAGTCTGCAAAATTTATGTTGTACTAGAATATTAACCATACTAGCAAAAAAATAATAGTCATTCTACCCTCAGAAATTGGTCCTCAACAGCTTCATGCCCGAGTGGTAACACAAAAACCCTTCTTTTCCTATGTATCTAAATAATGTTTGCCTGTCTTATACCATGTCTGAGTATTGGTATTAACTTTTGGCTTTTGCCCTAAAGGCAAGCAGTAAAAGGTCAAAAAAAGATGCAGAGATTTATTACCGATTATTATTTAACTTAGTTAAAAACAAGAAAAAGTACGGTCCTTGATCCAGGAAAAACCCACCTTTCCACTCTCTGATATTTCTCCTCCTCTTTCCTTTCTTCCATCTTCCTCACCACACACAAGGAAATCTAGGTTTTCCACAAACTGGCCATGTTTGTAAATCTCAAATAATTAACACGTTTGCAATTAATTTCAATCATGCCCACTTTGCAAAAAGTCCCTTGTTTAATTTGTAGACACAAACCTCAAATCCCAGAAGAGAAATTGATCTTTTCTTGACCTCAAATGTTCTCTTCCAGCAAGAATTCGCACTTTTTTCCGCAGATTGCACCATCTTTTGACACATCGACCTCTTTTCACTGCCTAAATAGCAGTGAAACTTTGCTTCACCACCACGACGATATGTTTTCTGGCCATTATAATTTAGTAGATAATTCTCCAGTTCTTCAGGCCGCCATTGACTTGCCAGTTCCTAGCGACACTGTATTAGGTTATCAAGATGTTGGCAGGCTAAATATAGATCTTGGGACTTCTGTAAATGCGTTTCCAAGGAGAAAAGGGACAGTGAAAAATGACAGGCACAGCAAAATCTTTACAGCTACAGGTCCGAGAGATCGAAGAGTGCGGCTTTCCATAAGTATTGCACGTAAGTTCTTTGATCTTCAAGACATGCTAGGTTTCGACAAACCAAGCAAAACCCTTGACTGGCTGCTTACAAATTCAAGAACAGCAATCAAGGAGCTGATTCGCACGGAACAAAGTACCTACAACATTCATTCTTCTCCTTTTGAGTGCGGGAATAATAAAGCTGATGAAAAAGGGAAATCCTTGGGGACAAATTTAAAGAAAAAATCATTGATAAATGCTACCAACATTAAAGAAGCAAAGAACCCACAACAGGCTTCAACATTACTCATTGCAAGAGATTCAAGGGCAAAGGCGAGAGCAAGAGCAAGGGAAAGAACAAGAGAGAAAATGTGTAGCAAAAGGCTCAATATTCAAGCCAGCCAGGTTTCTGATTTCAGCAAATCCATTTCAAGCCAACCAAGACCTTCTTCTTCAATTTTTGGTTTCCAGCAAAACCATATGGTTTCAAGTGATTTGACTCCAAATTGCAATGCATCTTCTCCTAATTATGCCGCTGAGAACTGGGATATTAGTTGCATAGTCAGGCAATCCAGATTGTGAGCCATATTCGACGAGCATAATATTATTAAGGGTAAATTTTTCTACAAAACAATTTCAAAATATACATTAGCTCAATGTTAATTATTTCTTTCATTTTTCTTTACAGCCATCCTTGGCAGGTCCGTGACTGATGTGTGGTTTACCAGGTGCTTAAGTTATGTAAACTTTACTAAATGTTTCGGCTTTGATGAATCTCTTATTTTTCTCCCTTTTTCTTCCAACTAGTTTACTGGTGGGAACATTCATGAATTGTATCTTTATTTCAGTACATTGACACCTCTTGTTACTCAATTGTGCTTAATAATTTAGCCGTAGACCCTCATTTATTAAAACACTCTTCATAGTACTGTATTGGACGGGTCTAATGTTGTATTTAGTTATCATATATAATTAGGTCTAATACAAGTTATATTTTATTCAGGACAAATCCTAATGTAGCATCATTTTAAAGTCCATCTTCTTGACAGTTAAATATAATATCAGTATATCGGAGGTTTGAAAATACCAATGAAATTTCCAGACCTACCTGGTTGAATCCATAGTTCAAGATTAATAATCCATAATAATTATCTACCATTGAATCTAGAAGAAAGACCATGAAATCATTGTATTAATAGGACATAGGAATACACATTATCCATAGTGCATTTGATATCTACATGTTATGTGCATATGTATGATTCATGTACTAAGTTTGTATTCTAGAAAACATGAGAAAAAGTGAAGCAAATTGTAAGAGAAGCAATAAGAAAATGAGAGTGTAATGTACCTTTTTTCAAGAGAGAAACTTCTTCTCTGAAAGTGTTATAGTGAGAGCGAGCACTTGAATATTAGTGAATCCATCTTGGCTTTCAATTACAAAGTGGTATCAAAGACTAGTTGAAGGAATTGTCAGAGATGACATCAAACAGTTGCAGCAACAGCTTCCTGACTTCAATGGGAAGAAGTAGTCTGCAAATGGAAGTGTTGTATTTGAAAAATAAGGATTCACATGAACAAATATAATCATTGGAGCCAACAACGAAGCTGTTGTATGGTATCAAAGACTTGCGAAAAACTGTGAGAAATGGATGCACCGACGTCAAGCTCGGTTCATTCAATTTATATAATTGAATCAGAAGAAGGACAAAATACAGTGTCCTTTATTTATCGAGAAATAAATGGAGAGATTTTTGAAACTGTTTCAGACACTCTCACCAAAACAAGCGTGGGATATGTCATGAATATTGTAGACTACCTACAAGTTAGATTTCCACAAGATTCTCAACAAACAACAGGCTGCTCTTGATTTTTAAAGGGAACAATTTGAATTGGAAATGGAAAAGAGGCCTAAATTATTTGAGGATGAAGAGAACACAATATGGTCAGTCGGAGTAGAAGGCAAATGAAATGAACCCATATGGACAAAAAACTAAGAACATAGGAGCAAAAGTTGGAAAGGCAAACATAAATGCTAAGGAAAAAGATAAGGAGGCTGAAACAAAGTTGAAAGCTGTGGAGGAAAATGAGAGGCCTGTCAAATGTTAACCACGGCAATCATATTTGTGGTATTGGTGTTGTCAATATTATAGTTGTCATTTTTCAACACTCTAAGTTCATAAAGGAGGGTATATATGGTAGTTGGAACATAATGCAGCAGTTTTTACAGCTTTCAGACTCTACCATTGTTCTAGTTTCACATCTTTCAGGCTTTGAAATATTTCAATAGGGCTGTAGGAGGAAAATTTAAAATTTAAATTATTCTTTGATGCTACCTTGCTCTCTACATATAGGACGAGAAATCGGAGTTTTTATGTGACTTGAATTAACATGAAGTCTTAGCCTTAAAAAAGTTTACATTGATTTGTTCAAAATTCCCTAGAGTTCTTATGGTAACCTCTCTAAGTGGAAAGATATGTTGGTTATTAGCAGAATATTTTCAATTCCCATTGAATGTACAGATTCTCAATCTGGAATCAAAAGATCCTGCTGTATATTTTAAATTACTAAGTGAAAACTTAATACAGTTGCTTGGAATTTAATTTGTCAAAATACATGTTTGATATATAGGTATCTAGTTTTTTTCAGAGGTTTCCAGTTTAGATTGTGGAATTGGTCTTTTTTGGTTAGCAGGTTTGTTGACATGAGTGATTAATTTGTGTGGAAATTCGAAGAATCAAAGTAAAGTAACAAAGAGAAATAAGTGCAGTTGTGGTGATGATTAACAGGCTTGCAGTTCAATACCTTCAAAAGTGTTACAAATTTTCATCCTCTTTCTTCCTTCCCCATTGTCCTAAACTGCGACGGAAAATATATGAAAATACTCTTTTGAGAAATGCCAAATTTCTTCAATAATTACATGATTAGTGCAAGAAGCATAAATCATGTCTAAAAGCCTTAAAACTTTTGTACCCTACTATAGTTATACTAACAGAGCTCCATGTTTTTGATCCTATGATTGTTTGGTTAAGATTATTATAGTTCAATTGCTGAATTGACTATCAAACTCCTCTAATCACAGCCATGGATACTGCAGGAGTTGAAAACTTCAAGCATGACAAGTCAATTACATATATATTCGAGCCCTCTTATAGACACGCAGTAGTGTTGATTAACAAATAATTTCATCGCAGACATGATTATACAAAACGACTTATTAAACTTTTGGTAAGAAAATCATCGCGAAGTTCAACAATTGAATCCCTGACAGGGTAAAAAAGTTTACCTTAATAAGTAGAAACAAAAACTGAAACAAGAAGTATAATAAAACTTGCAGCAAAATGGCACAAAAAAAACATATGATCACATTCTTATGGATTCATGTCGTTTGTTAACTAATCATAAGAACCAAAGAAAAACTAATCGTTTCCAACAATTAAGGTTCTAGAAATAGTAAAAATTGATTATATCATGGCAGCAGCTAACAGCCAAAAACCTCAGAAATTTCTGCAGCTCAAATGATACACGACAGAAGTTCAGAAATGGATAAAGAGGGAAAAAAAAAAAAAACAACAGCAAAGAGTGAACCTGATAGCTTTCTTTTGGAAGAAGAAAAACCAGTCAAATGTTAGGTATATGGAGCATTGTGTCATAACTCTAAACCTACTTTGAGTGATGAATTTGCGGTCTGGGTATGGAGGTGATCTGTTGAAGTACTACAATAATTTGATCCAAATCCTGGCTGTCCCTCCTTATTTCTCGGTCAGCCATATTTATTATAGCTAGCAAAGTACACAGTTACTATTTTTTTTTTCCTGATTTCAGTCGCCTAAATTCACATTCTTCAGAATTTTTCTCATTATTATACTTCCACATCTTTGTACACTTGAATATCGGACTTTTGCAAATTGAAATCAGTTTTAAAAATCTATATTTTGCAGAACTTTAAATTTTTTAAAAGTCTCCCTCTTTTTTTTTTGAATAAAATCTGGAAACTGTCAAGAAACCTTTCAGAAACAGTTAACCAAAATATTCGAACTCTGATTAAGGATTGAAATTCTTTGTGGATTTTGTTGTGTATATCATACGTGGTACTAAAAAAAGATTAACAGGAGAATTAATGTTACTGAACTTATAAAAATGAAATATAATTTCCTACTTCCATAAATAGCATTTTCACGTTTCATATTGCAAAGAGCCATGTTTATCATTTTCGGACTACCTGGACGGGGTTGGTCCGTTACATGCTATATGTACTAAGTGAAGGTTCATAGGAGGTTGTAGCCCGATAATTGGCCGGGAAAGGGAAGAAATGGGGATCTCTAAACGCACTATTTGCTGTAAGATGAAGCTTGACTAAAGGCTAAAACAAAAAGTAAAAACGTCGTAATCTATCACTTTCTTTTAGCATTTACATTGCATTTATAGATTGTATTTTAGGTGACAAATAAATAGAAAGATTTTCGGTTCACGTTATATTGACATTTAATGAATAAACGATCCAGTTACTTTTGTCTAAAAAATAAGAAACCGAGAGATGAAGAGAGGGAAATTTTAAATTTTGCTGGCTTCTTCTGTCTTAACATAGACATCTAGGCAAACATTTAGACGTTGTCTATTTTTTTTTCTCTTGAACGAATTCCAATCGGCTTGCAATGGAGAATAATTTTTTGAATAATGCTACTTGCAGTCGCTCACTGCAGCAGTCGCCCTATGTAGCACACATATGGCATGTATTTATTTGATACATTAATGTAGTAGTTTTTTATCACATTTAATGCATCAAATACACACTTGACATGTGTATGTCACATAGGGCGACTGCTGCAGTGCGCGACTACAAGTAACATTATTCTAATTTTTTCAACCATCTACTTTTATGTAAGCACAATTTTCTAAGAATCTACTGTTTCATTAATTTGGCAATGAAATGATTGACAGAATTTGATATTTTCTCTCCGAATAGGTGTCAGTCGGCTAAAGGTGCAGTGTGTTCTGCTTCAGCAGGAAAGAATTGATAGTATAAATTAAAAGAAATTAAAAACTGTTAGGCAGGATAGTGAATCGCCTGTGGAGAAAACGGTGTAGGAGATTGATTCTGGGCTCAAAGAAGGCCATCAATTTATGTTGAAAGCCCAAAACCACAATTGACGAGACCTGTTTTTTAAAGTATTTTCAGTTAATATTATTGAGACAATTTTCTGTGAACAATACATAACACCTACAAATTATATTTCAAAATTAACACATTTGTCAAGTTATTTCAATATTCAGATGTTAATTCTAATTAATAATATATATAATTATTTAGAATTAATTATCCCCACACCCACATCCACCACATCCCATCTCATCCCACCACACCAAATTACCCACACCCCCACTTGTAAAAATATTTTAAAAATTAAAATCTTTTCTCGGGATTACACCCCACCCCAACCCACTTCGTAAAACATTTCAAGAAATTAAAAATATTTGTTCGATTACACCAACCTTGACCCACCAACCTTTAAAAAAATTCAAAAAAATTAAAATGTTTTTTTGGAGATTACACTGCACTCCCACGGAATCATCCCAAATTTGTGATTAACTTGTATTATCTGTCACTAACTGTAATCAAATATGTTTTTAGTGTGACTGTCTGTAACCGTCTAATTTGTGACTATATGTATCCGAGTTACTAACCTATGTTATTTATGACTAATTGTGACCAAATAAATCTTCAATGTGATTAAATGTGATCAAATTTGTCTTCAGTATGTCTGTCTGTGACCATGTCAATCTTAATCGTGACGGCATGTGATTAAGTCACCATCAACACAGAATTGGTCACAACCAATCACAATAAACACATATTTGGTCACAGAGGATCACCACAAACAAATCTTCATACATTGCAAACTAGCACCACTAATCACCACCACCATCACCTCCAATGCATCATCACTACCACCTTCACCTCAAATCCACAACCATAAATAATACCTTCATCTCAAATCCACAACAATCACTTCAATACTAATCACACATTATTTTTCGATCATAAATAAAAAATTGTATATGTTACAATTTATTTTACGGTCACAAATTATCAAATTAATTTGTCATAATTACAAACTTAATCCTAATTTCGCATTTTTTAAACCAAATATTATTTATTGATAACAGATTAACCAATTTATTGATCACAATCACTCAAAATCCCAAACTCACTCCACCAATGACACTAATCGAACGCCGCCACCATCGTCGCCACCACAACCACTACCACCTCACCATGAAAAAATACCAATCACCCCCCCCAAAACTCCGGCTAAGCAACAGATCAGATAAAAAAACTCGCCCACAAACAGCCACACACAGTCGAATCAGAAAATCAACTAAAAAACCAAATCAGAAAATCATCAACAAACTCCAACAACCACCATCGAGTAATGAGAGTTCCAACCTCATCGCTTCTACAACGGAGGCCACTCTTACTTTCACAACCACCCAATCCCAACACTGGCACTTGCCTTTCGACGCTAGCACCAAATTTCCACATATGAGGTTCTTTAACGTGAACGTGAGTCCTCAAGATACAAACACAACACCTAGGTTACATTATCAACCTCCGGTGAATCAATCAACGACCGTTCAGATCTTCACATGGATGGAAAATTTCACAACCTTAATGAGTAGCTCCTCGCATGGCCGATCAGATCTTCAGAGGACCCAGCTAATATCCTAGGGTTCAACATGTCAGACATTCCGTCGTCGTATAGGTGGGCCTCGTACAGATAGATTTGAGCTCTATTGTAGCGACGATTTGAGTAGGGCTTCACTGCAGCACCACTCAAATCACTCATAGTACCGTTCCATCGGCACTAAAACAAGGATAAGCGTAGCACCAATGACGGTGACGAAGTGAGGAGAGGTAGGTAGAGTAGAGTAAAGAGAGTGTGTAAAGGGTAGAGAGAAGGAAGGAAGAAAGAAAGTGAATTAGGGTTGGGGGGGGGGGGGGAGGGCAAGGGGGGGGGGGGGGGGGGGGTTGGGGCAACCTCCCCTTTTATGACCATGTCAATCTTAATCGTGACGACATGTGATTAAGTCACCATCAACACAGAATTGGTCACAACCAATCACAATAAACACATATTTAGTCACAGAGGATCACCACAAACAAATCTTCATACATTGCAAACTAGCACCACTAATCACCACCACCATCACCTCCAATGCATCATCACTACCATCTTCACCTCAAATCCACAACCATAAATAATACCTTCATCTCAAATCCACAACAATCACTTCAACAACAATCACACATTAGTTTTCGATCATAAATAAAAAATTGTATATGTTACAATTTATTTTACGGTCACAAATTATCAAATTAATTTGTCATAATTACAAACTTAATCCTAATTTCGCATTTTTTTAAACCAAATATTATTTATTGATAACAGATTAACCAATTTATTGATCACAATCACCCAAAATCCCAAATTCACTCCACCAATGACACTAATCGAACGCCGCCACCATCGTCGCCACCACGTCGCCACCATCACCACCACCACAACCACTACCACCTCACCATGAAAAAATACCAATCACCACCCCCAAAACTCTGGCTAAGCAACAGATCGGATAAAAAAACTCGCCCACAAACAACCACACACAGTCGAATCAAAAAATCAACTAAAAAACCAAATCAGAAAATCATCAACAAACTCCAACAACCACCATCGAGTAATGAGAGTTCCAACCTCACCGCTTCTACAACGGAGGCCACTCTTACTTTCACAACCACCCAATCCCAACACTGGCACTTGCCTTTCGACGCTAGCACCAAATTTCCACATATGAGGTTCTTTAACGTGAACATGAATCCTCAAGATACAAACACAACACCTAGGTTACATTATCAACCTCCGGTGAGTCAATCAACGATCGTTCAGATCTTCACATGGATGGAGAATTTCACAACCTTAATGAGTAGCTCCTCGCATGGCCGATCAGATCTTCAGAGGACCCGGCTAATATCCTAGGGTTTAACATGTCAGACATTCCGTCGTCGTATAGGTGGGCCTCGTACAGATAGATTTGAGCTCTATTGTAGCGGCGATCTGAGTAGGGCTTCACTGCAACACCACTCAAATCACTCATAGTACCGTTCCATCGGCGCTAAAACAAGGATAAGCGTAGCACCAATGACGGTGACGAAGTGAAGAGAGGTAGGTAGAGTAGAGTAAAGAGAGTGTGTAAAGGGTAGAGAGAAGGAAGGAAGGAAGGAAGTGAATTAGGGTTGGTGGGGGGGGGGGAGTGCAATGGGGTGGGGTTATACAGATTAATTTAATTTTAGAATATTATTATTTAATATTAAAAATTGAATTATCACCTCATTTTGTACAAAATATCTTTTAAACTTTATTTTTGAAATTGTAAGTTAAAAAACATGGATGGGTGTAATTTCCTCTATTGCAAAAGGTAGTACTGTTATAAACGAATGAGCACCCTAAATGGCCAACTGGGAGAAGAAGGGCACCTAAATTCAGCTAAAATTGCACGCGCCGTTTTCAATATTTCACCTTCTGTCTTTTTATTTCTTCCACCATTATCGGGGCATATAGATTGAGCTTACGTGGTGTGCATAAAGGTGGTGATCATATGTGAGCCCGAAAATTGTTCATTACTTCAGGTGTGCTAAACTATGTCGTAAACAGCTTATAAGATGCATAAGCACAGGCCGATATAAAAATCTGGCAGTCAAGAAGCTAAGAATGTTATTACTTCTGATAGTGTTACTTCTTTCTCATTACGAACAATTTCACGTGTACATACCAAATTGACTATGCCATACTTAGTCTATTGTTCCTTTGAGAATGTCACCTTTGCTATGGACAGGAGAGACAACTGCGAGAATCACAAAACCGCCCAAAACAACTATCAAGATACCCAAAGAATTCACTAACAATGCCTCCGTTGAATATCGTGATATTACCTTTTGCGTCTGAAGAAATGTGGCTTTCTCCAAAATACCTGTAGTGCAAGTCGCTATAGCTAGAGCATAAATATAAATGCCAAAAAATACATGCCATGGCACCAGACTAGCCCTACCATGTCTTGAACCGCCTGGATACCAAAAGGTCACAAATCCAGCAACCCACTACAAAAGTAAATATGAATAAATGAATACAATGATGAAGCTCAGAAAACAAAATCTATCCTTTCCACAAAGAGAATGCTACATAATAATGGAATGGTATTGATTATGGGCACAGGAATTAAAATTCTAAAAACTACCTGAATTCCAAATAAGAGAAGGCAGGCCAAGCCCAGCCATGAGTGAAGGCTGTAGAAGTTGTCAATGCCTTTATCAATATGAAACTTCCAAGCAGCCCATAGTCCAACAATGCTCAAAAAGAGAGCTAGAAATTGTAGAAAAAGATGAACTAATTTTTTGTAACTTTTTGTTCCTGAGACAGTCTTGTATGCTAGCATGGCTGCAGAAATCCATTCCAAGCAATTAAAACCAAACTTCTGAGAATAAGGACCACAAGACAGAAATTTAACATCCCCTCCCAATTCCCAAATAGGTGATATAATAGCATCTCCAAACAAAATGTGAGAAAACATGTTCAAACAAATTGCAGCAAGTGCAAGGCACACAAGAATACGAATATGTATTAGAATATTGGTACTATAGTTTCTGTGTTGATTGGTTCTTTATCGATAAAAGACGAAACCACATCATCATTCAGAAAATCCAGCAAATTTCCACCATTCATCACAAACTCTACCGAAATTTTAACTTACCCTTTGCTAAAAGGAAAGGAATAGAGAAACTTAAACGAATTACGGGATAAAACAGGAAAATAACACAAATTAAAAGCGTCAGAGTCACCACAAGGAGAATCCACATTAATATAAAACAATAAGTGCAGTGGGTTATACATATAAGTAAACTCAACAGGGCAACAGCAAAATTGAATAAATTGTGAAAAAATAGCCAATTTATCATTGTGAGAATGTAAGAAAACAAGACTAGATCACCATACTTTTCAAGCTAACAGCATAATTGAATACAATTGTCAAAAATTGGCAATACATTTCGGATTCAATTTTATCACTGTGAGAATATACAAAAACCAGGCCAGATCACCATACTTTTCAAGTTAACAGTCTTACGAATTTTGCTCTAATAGTGTAAAGTCAATAAAGATCAGCTCACTTGCATACAAAATCAGTCCTTACCTTCGCCGTTCATAAGCACAAGGCCTATAACCATTAAAACAGGATGAACCTACAAAACCATTAAAATAGATCATCAAACATTCAGTTGGTTAATTTAAAAAAGGTAAATTTGCGAATTGTATTCTCCAACGACCCTGGTCGTACAGAATTAGACCTAGCTCCGACGAAATTTTATAAGAAGTCCGGGGAAGATATGAAAAAAGTACATTGAAGATGAGATCTTTGTTGTCGGAGATGAGAGCCAAGCCTCCCCTGTAATGCACCGTCCACGTTAAAACGAGTGCAGTTATAGCAATTCCGAAAATTCTCACCACCGCAAAGATCGGGAACCGATATATCGGCACCGCCATTGAAGATTTCAGAGAGATTTAACTGCGAAGAATCTTATACGAAGGGTGAGATTCAGGGGTTTGCAGTCAAATTCAGATCTCTATGAAGGAGTGGACTATTCAAGCCATCAAAAATTAGCGTCAAGTATACCATCGGACGGCTATAAATCACTCCGAGATTATTAACAAAATTATTAAATGTTTAATATCAAGCATAGAGAGAATATTATTCACTCCCTCATCGAAGGTGAGGCCACATTGTCGATTAATAAAATATGTTCCAATTTCTTGAACAATATGACAGTAATCCCACGATCATAAAGACCAATAATGATCAAGACTTTAGTTGAATAACATTATTTGTTAAGAAAAATTATAAATATAATAATAAACAAAATATTCAACATAGTTATTATTTAGAAAAGTAGGGGTATTACGTCAAATGTCAATTGGCCAAAACCCCCTCCCCGCCCCAAACCCATCCCCTGAAAAATAAAAAAAAATAATTAACTACAAATTAAAAAAAAAATAGTTAATTTGAAGTTTTTGAAAAAATAAATAAATAAATAAATGGGACAGGAAAAGGGGCAAGCCCTCACCCCGCCCAGTCTAAGGTGGGGCGGGGCACGGGGCGGGACGGGATGGGGGTGTGGCGTGGCGTGGCGTGGCGTGGCGGGACGGAGCCGGGGCGAGTTTTTTTGCCATCACTATTAGCATGAAATGTCCTTTTGTTTTGTAAAAACATTGTAAAATGATGTATTTATCCTTATATTTAAATAAACAAAAAGAAAATAAAGAAAAGAAGAAAATAATTAATGCAAGAGTTTCAAATCTTTTCGAAAAGTACAAATAACTTACTTGAAACAACTTAAAAAATGTAAGACATTACGACTTCATATTACAAAACATTGTATGTCTTAGCATTCTGTACGGGTAGTTCCTTCGGTTGGCGATCCACAAATAACTACAAATTTTAGCAGTTTGCTATTGTACAACCAAGTATAGAGGCCTCATTGTAAGTGCTGTCCTTCCGGGAATCGCAGGCTGTTGCATGCATTTCTCTATATTTCTTCAATTCCCTGCATGATATAGAGTTCAAATGCTAATTCAGTTCGATTTGGAAGCAAAAAAATCTTGGATAGAAAAATGCGAAGTTTCTAACTTACATGCAACGCGGCATACTGCAATTGAATTCTCTGCAGTTATTCGAGTGCAAACACAGCAAAAACCAGATTTTCTTGCAATGTTTACAGCCACCAGAAAATCGAACTTCGCAGTTGCGTGAGTGGAGAAAAAACTTTTTAACACTACCGCAATTGGGATGGGAGCAGGGGTGGTCTTGCGTCTCTCTGCACGAATTGGCATGCACTAGAAGATTCAGCAGTTCCCTTTTCTGCAAAACAGGTTTTTTGGATGATTAAATACAAATTTCACCAATGGTATCTTTTTTAAGGTTAACTCTGCCACAATTATGGAAACTACAAAACAAGGATAGAATATACAAGTATTGTTTGATCTTAGAAATAACAATGGAAAAGAATTTTCGTTTATCATCCTTTTCATGTCTGAGAACTAAAAAAATGTAACCTGATTTAAAATCTCTATCATGCGTGGCCTAGATTTCTCAAGTGAGCGATGATATATGAAAAATATTAGTCATACCTCCATTACTTTCCTGTGCTGAGTCTGTTTAATCTTTGTTTCACAATCAGCATTGGATAAATGCTGAATCAACTCATGAATGTGACAACGGCCACCTTCTCTTTGATAGCATGCAGCGCAAACATCAAATTCAGGACAAATCTTGCAATGCCATTGCACCATGATATCCTTTTGACAAATGTTGCAGGAAATCCCCTTGGTTTGTTCCGTCATTTTGTTCAGATGATACAGTATCATCATGGATGAGTGCTTGGCACGGCGGAGTGTATCAAACTGATAGTGATTTGCCTGGCAAAAGCTCAAGAAAGAGTGTCTTTGCTCAAAGAAATTGTTGTCTAGAATGACATCTTTGTCCTCGGTATCAGCAGCTACATCAGTCACCGCAATCTGAAAAGATTAGTAGCCAATAAGAATGAAGGAAATTTAGCTTGTACAGTGTTGGCCAACTCCAGGCAACTGGAAACAAGAAAATTTGAAGTTTCAGAAGCACCTGACACAGTGGATGTTTTTCCCCATTGATGCCAGAGTGAGCTTTTATTTTGTCAGAGATTTGCTTTGGTTCGAGGCATCTGAGGTAAACAACAAGAGTAAATAATCTAGAAGATATTTCCATAATTCTTTATTAGATCAATGTTTTAGTATGAGTGTTCCGCACAAATAATATGTGCAACAAAGGACAAAATCAGAGTTTGAAGCCAAGGGAAAGAGATGAAGGGGAGAAAGAAACTGAAGATAACAGATGTACTTTTTTCACAGATAATATGCAAAATATATGATATTCATCAGAAGCAATTCCTACGAAAAACAAATGACAAAATCAAATAGTTGGAACCTAATAATAACCTGACACATAGATGAAAGTTGTTGCATTGGTTACAAGACCAACGGCTTCCAGATAGTATCACTTCATGGCAGTTTATGCAAGTGAACTGCAAGCGGACAATGATAAAGTCTTCCTTCTTGGGTAGGATGCTCTGCCCCAGCTATCAATGGGAGGAAGAGGAAGAAAACATAAAGCATTAGTAGACAATACAAAAAAAAAAAAGCGAAGGTTATCAGTTGTAACCTTTATGTCAGCTACGAGTTTGAACATCCAAAACTCTTGCTTATTTAGAAACTAAAATAACCATTAGTACAAAGAGAACAGTATCACTTTTAACTTTCTTATTAAGAGTTTGATTTCTTCTTCAATACCTAGAGAAGAGAAGGGAGTGTGGACCAACAACCAAGTTCAAGGGTAGGTCTTCACAAGCACCACGTCCTCATTTACTAATTCTTTAAGAACAACTTCCAAATGAACTATCTCGATCCAAATTTCGTAGTTGAAATAATACTCTATTACATACCTTATACTTGGCTAGACCATTAGGTTCAACTAAAATGTTGCTGATACAATTTTTTTCTAGTTATCCAGTATCTTACTTCTTAAGTACGCTATTAGGTGATGTTAACTGTAATCTTGAGTTTAGTTAGGAAGCAGGTCAAATATTGTTTAAAAAATCATGACCATGGTAATTAAAAGAAAAATTGACTAATCAAGAGATCAGTGTGGTGACCCTTTTCGTGGGTGTGACTATAAAAATATGGCAGTACATGAAATAAATATGCTGGAAAAAATAATCTGGCACATGGACTTAACTATTCCTATCCATTTTAAAATAAAATACAGCAAATAAAGTCCAAGTGAATACAGAGAGCCCTGGAACCAAGAATTCATTAGAAATATACCTTTTGCATCACTAGAATATCCTTTGTTGCATCAGCCGAAAGGTCACTATGTCCCATTGCTTTAAAAGTTCTTTTTGTAACTACCTTCTTCACCTTCCTGCCAAATCCTCCACTTTCTTTCTCAATACTCCGAATCACATCCTCAGCGGCACCCGACCAGTAGTCTCCATCAAAATAAGGTAAACCAGCTGCTGTTATCTTGATGTTGCAATTTCCATTCCGAACAAAGAAGTGATCATATAAGTTAGTATAATCCACCACAATATTATCTTCTATTGCTTTCCTAAGCATCTTCTTGTACCTGCAGGCACAAAATTTCATCCAGACATGAAGACCTAAAACTTGCTAACAAATAGACAATTGTAAATTGTCAAATATTTATCACAGGTTCATTCAGCTAATATTAACATACAGTTGGGGCACAAAATTTTATTGGAAAAACAGCTAATGAAAAAGTGACAAAAATATAAGTTAAATATTTCTTATGTTTTGTCAAATGTAGCTTGACATGATCTAACACTGAGGAACAGAAGAATTTGAAAGGACAAAGTTATTACTTGAACAATGTGGAAATATCCAATCTCTTTTGCAACAACACAAGTATCATAATAAGTTGTTTTAGAAAACCCAAGGAGGGGGTATGAGCAGGAAGACAGGGAGGCGTACCAGTGACGCAGCTTATCAGTCTTTGGTGTTTTCTGCACCTCTGGGTGACAGTATAAAATATAATCTTCCCCTTTTATAGGTGGGCAAGCCCATATGTAGCAGGTCGTAAAACCACGTTGCTTGCTGTAATCAAGGTATCCTATCTGCAGTGACAAAAAGGGAAAGCAAACAGTTTGATTAATTCACATAATTCACAGAGAGACTATCTGCTAAACAAAGAAGAAAGAAATTGGATAGAGACAAAAAAACTGACCAATATTTCGTGGTATACAAAGGTACGTACAGCCTCTCCATTAACAGTTTCGATTTCAGGTCTAAAATACTTAACTGAATCAAGATATGAAATATAGATGCAACGTTGATTCGGTTGCCTACATTCTGAACCAAACTCTTGGACGTACATTCCAAAGATACAGACATCCACACCTTCAATTTTTTGAAACAAAAGGATCACCTGAAAAAGGACTTTCAAATTAAAACTCCAGTATGCACACAGAAAAGAACCATGAAAAACAAAATTAACATGCTTCAAGTACAAGAAGTATCTCTACTACAAGATTCTTTATTGCCCTCTTCTACTTCAATCCTATTAAAAAAACTTGGAACATTATTTGAAAATTTGAAATATTCTCATGTTTCATGCATACCTTCAATATAGGAGGTGCATGTTATAATAGTCTAGAAGGGGAATAGAGCAAAGACTGACTGAAATTTGTCAACCATTATAGTTCAGCCAAAAGTTTTAAAAGCATTGAAAACATGACTGGTGAGTGAATTATCAAAAAAATTGAGAAATTATTAGCCCCTATTTGGCCCCATTTTCTAAAACTCATTTTTCCTTGAACTCATTTTCAATCACACATTTCATGGGACCACAACTTTTATTGAAATCTACTTAAATCTGATTTGAGCTAAACCAAAAGGGGCTTAACGCCATTTTGGAATCTCAACCCTGCAACAAGAAAATATTCTAATTTTGATCAGAATACTACTTCTTACCTTGGATCTATATGGAAACTCTGTTGGATAATTTTCACCATGGAGAATATCTAAAAACTTCTGCGACACTTTTAATTGTTTGTTAACAGCTAATACCACTCGAACTACAAGATCTGTTGCTTCAGGTACCTGTTAACGGGGAGAATGTGTCAAAGAAATGAAGCATCAGAATAAAAATATTTGAGCATAAAGACATTTACATATATGTAAGATGTACATCAGGATCTCAGCTTCTTTAATAAACCAATGAAAGATATGTGTAGGACCTCCAGGGAAGAAGCCACTCGAAGGAGATTTTTACCTTCTGTTGTTCTGCAGAGCAGAAACTATGAAGACGAGTCGACAAGTTTTCATTGTGACCATATGAACAAGAGACTGAAAATTTTCTAAAATATAATATTCTACTTGCAACTCTTAGAGACCCAACACTATGGTAGCACATGAAGTTGAGGAGGGAAACTGTTTGTGCCCCACTAGCAAGTCTCTTAAGATATCGGCTCAATCTAGTCATATTTAAAATCTAATACAATCATTCACTCAAGTCTGAAAAAATTAGTAATTTTATAATATTTTAAACATTTTGAGTTGTTTTCGTATAAGATAAAGAAGAAAACATTAGAAGAAAGACACTATTTCAAAGATACTTTTTCCATTACAATAATCAAGCACTAAAAATTGACACGTAGCTTGATCTCTTCATTTTTTTGCTTGGGGCAGAGGGAACAGAAAATTAGGAAGTACTCTAAGTCTAATACATTGTACAAATCATTTGATCAATTATGATTCAGAAAATCTTTCGCTGCTGTCCTATTTTCTTGAATTACTCGTCCTAAATGACAAACAGAATTTATAATACCAAGTGTACGAAAACAGAAGTACCAGATCAATTGTCATCTGCTATAAAGATATGAAAATTGCTGAAAATGCATCGACCGAAATCCATAATTTTTAAATTACCTCAATTAGTGACTTCCCATACAATTTTGCTCGCTCTTCTCTTTCTCTCTTAAGACTTCTGAAGAGTCTCTCTTCTATATGATCACTAAGCATGGTTCTTGGAAGATCTTTTGCCCCGAATGCAGCAGGAGTGGACACATGTTCTTTAGCTGCTATCTCAGCTAAGCGGCAAAATGGACAAATGTACTTTCCTTTCCCTTCCAAATCTCGTTTAGGATTAAAGAGAGCACATATCTCATGCTGCCAACGTTGGCACTTATCGCATTGTACCCACTACAAGCATACAACAGTAAACAGAATTCAAAATCAAATTTATACAATGAAATTAACTGCAAAAGGAACAAAGAAGACTAAGCATACCGATTCTTCAACTTCTTCATCATTTTTGTCCTTATGCAGCTTTTCTTTGGAAAAAGTCATCCCCCTAAATGAGATACTACCACCACGAGACCTCCTGAAGCACAATGCACAAAAACAGTACCCTGCACCCGTTTCATCCTCTGTCCAATAATAAGTCAGCTTATGTTTGATACGAGCCCCACAAGATGAGCAATAGATAGGTGATGGAGTGAACACAAGCCTATCTATGGCACATAACTGGCACGTATTTTCACCAAGAGAATGCACATCTGTGTTTTCCGTTGATTCCTCCATAACATTCTATACAGAGAGAGAGAGAGAAAGAGATGTCATCAAAACATATGATTGTAGTTTAAAAAAAAAAAAATACGATTCCCCGAAATGAGTACACTGGACAAAATAAGTAATTATCTAGATGGATATGTAGATTGAAGTAATAATAAGAGAAAAGAGGGAATCTAGTTGCCATTTATCCAAAGAGAGGAAGCTATATACATGTATATATGAATTCTTAAATAGTTTAAAGTTGATTATTACCATTCAAGTCATCCATAAATTACGAAGGATACAAAAGTTTATCCAATTTAAAAAGATTACTTTACAAACCTGGCTTCTGCAATGATTGAAACTATGCAAGTGTTCTTTTATTTGCTCTTCTGTGAAAAAATCAGTTAAAGAAATGCCTAATCCTTTTGAATCCTTCAATTCTATTCCCAGTTGATAATGAACTGCAGTTTCATCTGATACACAGTTTGCACCTAGTCTGACATGCTCAGCTTTAGACATGGGTTTGATCTCCTTTCCTTGTCGACCAACAATCTGCTCTTCGGAAAGAGCAGGCATGCTTTCAGAATTCAAAATTTGTGCATTAAAGGTCCCAAAAGAGTTGGCATTGCCAGTGCATTCAAAGTACATCTCCCGCTGTTCACAACCCACAATGAGCTCTTCAGGTAGACTGGAAGCATAGCCATTACCCTGCAATTTATTGTCTGCAGCATCATTTCCCCTCATCCTGGAATTTCTTGTGAACCTAAACACTTCCTTGCTCGTCTCATCCGAGTCATTATTATATATAGGAGCTTCAGATGGCTGTCCCAACTTCAAATGTCCTTCAGTTTTTCTGAAGGAACAATTTGCACATTCTCCATTGCTATCTGAAATATAGTTCCTAGTCACACCAGTTTGTATGGTGTCTTCTTCCATGAAGCTTAAAAATTCCTTGTTCACCTCCATTGCATCTTCCCTGTTATGTACAGGAATTCCAAACCGCTGTGGATATTTTTTAGTATCAAAGGGTTGTTTCACCGGAAGAGGAACTGCACCCATAGGCCAACCATCAGATGCAACAACATTCTCCATCCTCAAACGTTTAGGAGAGGGTTGAGGATCTTCAATAATATAGGAACCTATACTATCAGAATCTATAGATTGGAGATCTCTTTTCGCCTTTCCAGATCCTAAGTAAATTCTGTCAACATGTCCTAACTCACGAACAGGCTTGCATATGCTACAACCAGTATAGTGACAGGTATCAAAATGGGATATCAAAATTCGGTACTTGTCACATGCACATCTTTGGTCATTGCACACTGTCAAATGCATATAATCCACAAAGTCCTGCCTATTCTCTGCATTCATGGGCATACTTTTGTACGTAATATATGAGAAAAGAATATTGTGCAAAGACAGTATTGAATCAGAAGGTTTGGCAGGTTGAACATCCCACAATTCTCTCTGAACTGCACAGGATTGATCTACAAGCGGCTGGGGTAATTTCAGTGACCATTTTCCTGCTGTTCGATTATAACACTTTTTAAATTCTACGGTGCATCCATTTGTCTGGGCCTTGGACGACTCATCAAAATGTTGAAAATGAGGATAAGGCCGCTGATGACTCCGCTTTGGTTCCAGCATCTGAGCTTCAAACTGGAATAACTCCACATGGCTTGATTCTGGTTCACTAACAATCATACCAGAAAGATCATTAGCATCTTCTGGAGTCCTCAGTGGGACCTGTTCTGGGATCCAAGCATTGTATTTAACTAGCTTTGAATTCTTCCCTAAAAAAGATGGAGCATTCGCATGATAAACATTTAGATTGTTCTCTACAAGTCCCCCGCATTTCATCAGATTTGATTCATCTGTCCCAAAAGAATAGTTAAGAGATCCAAAATTTCAGGGGTAAAAGCAATTAAAATGCACCCATGCACATGCAACAGAGAGAGACCTTGGCCAAAGTATGTTCACACATTAGGTTGATAGAAGAAAAGCACCAGAGCTCTTTCCCAAGTTAAGAATAAATACATAATTAGGTCAACCTAGGACATAAATCAACCTTTAAATAGAGAGATTCAAGACGTTGACAAAGAATCATGGGCTACTCTGTATTTGAGATCCCTTAGGATACGAGCAAATTTAATTATACTAATATTCCATTTGGTTTAGATTATTTTACCTGTTTACTAAAAAAAATGGAAAAAATAAATTGATTCGTCAGAAAAAAATTATATTCTAGTTCTTTCATAATCGATTACTGACATAATCATAATCAGTTCATTACGCGGAACCAGACAAAGGGTTTACTGTCAACTTTTTGCATGGTATGGTGGTGAAGTTGATTGCACAACATTTCCATCAGTTTAATGATGTAATAAAATCAAAGAAATATCAGACACAACCAAGAAAACAAAATGATTTTCCAAGACAGTTAATCAGGAGTCATTCAGAGAGCAGACGAGGTTCAGGAAAACTAAGAGTTACAGGAAATTGGCAGATCTGGAAGAAATTTAGTCTCGTATTAGAAATTATAACTGTTTCTTGACTTATCCTATGACTATATACGATGACATGACAAAACAAGTTGAATTGGATAATTGGGCATAGTAAACACTTTGAATTTAGAGAATTCAGCATTAGTTTTAGGAGTTATACCCTGATTAATATGATGCTGCAAAATATTGTTTCCTGATGTTGACTCGGATCCCTGCAAACTACTGAGAGAAAAAGCTTGCCCACCCTCCAAATGATCCTTATAAGAATGCCAGTCCTCATCAGAACATGCCATGATAGATGAGATCTGCTCGGGCGAAGGAGAAACCTCACCAGGAAAATTATTTAGATTCACTGAGGAAAACATGTTCTTGCCATCACAAGCAACTAATGTAGAGACAGCCCCATGGGTGTCATTTTGAGGTTCTGCATTTGAAACAACCGTTGAATAAGATTATTAATCTTTAATGACTGAAAACTATACCAACATGTTCAAGACAACTTATAGTTGAACCTACCCTGAAAGTGGAGAGAACTTTCGATGTTACTGACTCGGACTGTGCTACAGGCAGCAGTGGATGCCATTGAGTAATCAAACCAAGGGTAAGATGAATTCAAGTCGTAAAAACCAGATGAAACCCCAAAAGCCGCCGTTGTCCTAGGAATGGGTGGAAAGGAAGATGCTTCATAAAGTGCACGAGCATCAATTATTTGTTGCTGGTTAAGGTATTGCAATTGATGTGATAGTATCTCCTCATTCACGCACTCCTAAAGGAATTAAATAATGTATGAGCTCAAGTATATGACAGGTATGTCACAGTACCGATAAAAAAGTTCGCTAATTAAACCTGTCACAGCACCGATACTACAGTTAGCTAATTATCCTCAAGTGTATCTCATTCATTATATCATTAATGGAAAAAACATATCATCCTTCTTTAACGGAAGAGGACTCAGTGTGACATAATGATAATAACAAGTTCAATATTTCCACAAAACATGATGCAGAAATACTTTAAATGACAATGATAAAGGAAAGAAATGCAGCTTAGAATCATCAAAAGAAGAGGAAAAAAATCCTGACTGATTTTTTATCAAATACCTTGAAAGCAGAACCACCAAATAGCCGGCCTCCCATGTCAGAGCCAAAGTCATATAACTGTTTTCGCCACTCCAGATTTGTTTGCTGCTGGAAGTTTTTCTCACTGCAAAATAGTTACACTTAAGGAGGTTAATGAAAATTTCAAACTACATCGCATGGCCATATGCTCATTGATCACACTTGGTGGAACCTAAGAAATTACTCATCCCACAAATTCAAAACTCACATCTCGTTTCTTCTCAATTCATTGCCACGATCTGGATAGGGACTGGATGTCCGACAATTTTGCAGTTGCTCTTCAGAAAATTGATGGTTGAAACCATCACTGAACCGCTGCTGCAGAGTTGAAAACGCTTGGACAGACCTCTTCATTATATGATTATTTACCGGATCCAAGATGCATACATTTGTATTCATCTTGATGTTACAAATTCATTCTGCAAAAGACGGAGAAAATAAAGCAGCAGCTAGGATGCAGTAAGTTGTACATATGTTCAATTCACAATTTGAAGTGATTTCTGTACTTGGCAATTGATTAAACAGAACACTCAAGCCTCCAGAAACACAAGATATTAAATTCGCATATAACTGTAATTAAAATGTTGATTTCCAGATTTCTAGAACAATAAATTGATCTCCATAAATTATTTATTTTTTCATGGAATAGGATGAAACTGTTCCTTACAGGGTTTTCACCAAAACATAATGCGATTAGAATCGAATTCAACAATTCCAATGGCTATCTGTCAAACTAAAGTCAATTCACCTGAATAAATTTAATGGTAAAAACCCCCCGAATTAATCTCCTTGGCTACAACCAATAACAATGTCATCAATCCTCCGAAATCAAACACAATTCATATTTTTCCAATTCTTGTTCGTTGTAATACAAATCAAGAACGTTTAATTTTTTTTAACATTTTAATTGAATAATCCCAATCGTGTAATCCATTAAACCTAACCATCCTCAATGAGTATCCAATAGATAATTGCATAAATCTGGCTGTGTATACAGGTTAAGAAAACGTACCAAAATAAGGGTTTTTTTTTTTTCAAAAATTGTTGGGTTATGGAACAGCGCGGCAAAAATTCAGGAGTCAAACCCAAAAATATTGAAGGGTAGAAGACATAAGGAAAGTATAATGTATTAAAATAGTCTGTCTTAATCTCGTATATATAGAGAGAATTCTCGTATAGAAAAGGACTCCAATTCTATTTCGGCCGAGATTTGTGTGGCCATTACCGTTGCTTCGTTTTCAAGCGGTCCCTTTCTTTTACTTCATTAAGAAAACGTCGTCGTTTGTATGGTCCTGAACCTGAAGGAAACCCGACCGAGACTGCACGAGTCATGTACTCATGTACAGTTAGAATCTTAAGTCCATTAAGTTTATTTTTTGAGGAAATACGCCCACGAAGGTTTTTAAGTTACCATTTTCAAAAATTCAAAATCAACTTTAATAATATATAAAGTTTATATATTCATTTACTTCACTAAGTTTATTTTTTGAGGAAATTACACCCACGAAGGTTTTTAAGTTATCATTTTCAAAAATCCAGAATCAACTTTAATAATATATAAATCAAGTTTTAATTAAT